GAACAACTAATCGCGGTCAAAGGCCATTCCCAGCTAGCAGCACGTATATCAACACACACGTAACAAGCACTACTCAACGCACAACCACTAGCCCACCGCTACGCACCACTATGTCCAGAATAAAGATCAACATCTCAACCGGAACACTCAAGGAGGACCAAATATTAGATTCACAAACAAAGAAACAAGGAACTCCTTGGGGTCAAAGCAATAAAGCTCACAAGCCGGGACTCGGGAGGACAAAAGTCACTCCAACATCGACCAGATTACGACGGCAGGGGATGCCAAGCTCAAAGGTCACATGGGCATTGGTGAATGAGGATATGAGATGACAAATCAACCAGTGGAACCGCCCGATCGAACAACTAATCGCGGTCAAAGGCCATTCCCAGCTAGCAGCACGTATATCAACACACACGTAACAAGCACTACTCAACGCACAACCACTAGCCCACCGCTACGCACCACTATGCTCCAGAATAACGCACTGATAATGTCACCTCGGTTGGTGGTGAAACACTTGCAATCAAATTGCCCAGCTCGGCCAACAAGCCAACGACCACAAGTTCAACTGTTACTCGACCGTCTGTTGGTACATTTGTATGGTCCATATATCTCATTTGGCCCGTATATTGACTGTGTGAACAGTGATAAAATCCCGGAAGAGAACGAACTCTAAAAAGTGGAATTATGGGTCAGTGGTGTGTGGGAGAAACGATTGAAAGCACCGAAATATTACAGGTAGCGGTGATGCACAGCAAAGCAAAATTTGTGGGTCCTATTTATGTAACTCTGCTCGATTTGTGAGGTATGCATTCACACAAGGTATTAAAGTATAATTCAAACACGAAATCGGCTGTTCCCTACAGTGGGCTTGCGAAAATGTTTAGCCATCAGCCGTTGATTTAAAACAGACAGCTGACTAACAGTTATATTTTCTGTTTTTGCGTCATTGTTGCACTTTCTGCGTCCGAAGACTGGAAATTCTGCGTTCATCACTGATGGATATAAAGTAAATCGTAACTACTCACTGATTGTGAAATTCTCGCGTAGTAGCAAAATATTGTATTGCTCGAAGTTTGATTGACATCATGTGTTTGGACAGAAAACCTGTCGTTCATCCAGAATATCCATGACTACGGAAAAGAAAGGTCTAATGGAGGCAACGTCATCAGATTCCTTATAATACCACACGATAAGCCTTAAAATTCACAACAACTTTTAAGTACAAATGAACAAACCTGTATCTCAAGTAGTCCAATAATCGACCTGATTGTCGAACTAGCCTTATAATAGCCATACTTGAGAAAATGAACAAAAAACTAGAAAGGCTCGCAGCTTTCTGTGTACATAGCAGATCACATTCCGAAACAAATGATAGGGTTTCTCGTTACAAACAGACTGGACCCACAACGTCTTGACGGTTTATACTCCCCCAAAACCGCCTGACCTATAATGGAGCGTATAAGTAAAGCACCCACAACCCCTCCTCGATGAAAGGTTAATGAATAGAAATCTCAGTAACCTTCCCCTGGTCCCTTAGGTTTGGAGTTGAAAAGTGAATGGCGAGTTGCTACTTGAAAATGTGGCCTGTTCTAATGGCCTTAGACCAACCACCGCGGCTCTGGTCTAGGCCTAGACCAGCTGGCACACATTCAGCACCTACTAGCTATTAGCTTTTATGGTTTTGGTGTCAACGGTAATGATTTTAGAGACGATGTTCAGGATTACCTTGATGATTTTGATAAGATGTTCGAGATTTGGTTAATTCACAATGAATAACCTCGCAATCTGAAACTTTTATGCTTTCGTTGGGTCGTTTAGAATTGCCGGACGTAACATGGCTTTCTGGGGTTACCTTACTCCTGCGACGGCCCTAGGGGGATTCGCAGTCCACCACAATCTAACTCAAAACAGAGCAAATCATGCTCGACGGATATCCACTTTCGGTTGTACTCTGCGTTAAACTGATAAGTGATAATAAATTCCGATCTAGTCGGGGCGAACGACATGAAATTCAACAGTGAGAATGTTGCTTTTGGGGGCATTCTTTGCGGCCTGTCATGGTGAACATTCCAAGCAGCTGACACCAAAGAGACTAAGTGGCCCACATATTTAGGGTGGAGGCAATTCATTCCAGACACAACCTTCAGAAATTTTCTGAAGGAGCCGAAAATGGGCGATTCAGAGTGCAGAGCGAATTTGTTGAGTCCAGCTTCCCTGCAGTAAATTCGGTGGTTGTGCGTGGGCTGGAAAACTGCCAGGTCTAGACAGGATTACGATTCAGGTCATCAACAAAAGATATGGTTCACAGTACCAACCGTCAGGTAACAACGGTCGGTATATTACCGTCAGAAAAGACTACTTTACTGGGCCAGCTGCCACACATATTCGGACTAAAATACTGCAGGACCTAGAAACTGATTGCCCAGACCTTTCCGTATTGATCCACTCGGGATGCGAGGCTATATGTGAGTGCACCGATTGACATCTCTAAGTGATTTGGCTTTCTTGTAGAAAGGTTCCCGCTCTGACACAAAAACTTGACTAACCGCACTACCTAATCCCCCGGTTTATGAGAAGTTTGCTTCGAAAGCGATAATTTAACCGGCGATGAAGGAACCGATCTTTTTTGAAACTTTAGTTACAGAAGAGAAAAATCAATGGCATTTCAATTTGCGTAACGGCAAATTTCACGTATTGGTAACTAACGGATATTCCACTGTAAGGTCACACTATAGGGCCTTTTTGTTAGTATCTTGCTTGGGATAGGATGCGGTGAACGATTATGGCAACGGAAAAATACTGATTTTGAACACATCCGACTGAAAGGCTTCCATCTGTTACGATGAAACCAGCTGTTTTCGACCTAAACCTACTACACTGGCTTGGTGGTTAGCTTGGGCTGTGAAATGATCCGGTGTGTTACGCCTACTCGATCCCCGTTCTCCAAGCACAACAATTACAGTATGGCCAGAGGGCAGTATTCAGATCAAGAGCAGCGGGACCACGTACTACGAGTAATCATGCTATGAGGTGGTTTGGGAGTAAAGTCGTACTGCCCTCGGTGATGAGTGTGAAAGTAACAAGGTGATTTCCCCAGACCACCAGTATTTTCATATTCATGAAAGAAGCGATGCCGCATCTCCCCGAGGAATGATGCGTTAGAACATTTAAGCTATAAAAACCGCACACTCCGATCACCCAACGATTGACAGTGACTGCCGGCGCCCTATTCAGTACGGTTGAAATACTTTTAAAACCAAAACTTCCGGTGCTGTTCAACAAGCACCTGCTGGGCACAACCGCAGACAGTAAAGTCTTACTCCTTGTACCCTCGGGCTAGGCCGAGACCCTACAACTGATCAAGTCAGACCAGTGAGTCAGCGGCTCCGGGAAATGTCCACAAAAAACTACTGTCTGATGCCTTGTGGGTCAGACTTTTGATTCAATGGATAGAGGCAGGGTCCCCGAACAAACCCTACATCTTCCCATGGCCTCGTGGGTCAGACTTTTGAGTCAAGTGCTCAAGGTGATTTACCTCAAACAGACCCCGTTCTCCGGCCTGGGAGACTGGGAAGTATCATTTGCCCGCGCAATTCTATGTTCGCTGATGTCCCTCCGTAACCCCTTTCCACCACAAAAGCAAATGTCCCTGGGTCAATTGACCGCCAGTCATCTGACCGATGGGCTTTATACTCCGCGCCGCCTATTCAGAGTAATCAAGCTAATACCCTGCTCCTTTCTACAAAGGAGGTTTCAACGCCCGTACTCTGTGTTAAATTGTTAAACAGGCAATGTTCGGCCGGACCTGGTACTTCCTTAAAATTGATGCGTGCTTTATTTCTGAAGCACCCACACAAGACTCAAGTGTAGTTATGCATCTTGAAGCACCAAGGAAGAACTCAGCTCTTTCACGTATCTCCCTCCGTGTGATCTAGAAGCGAGGACTTAAAAATATAGGGCGCGAGAGTTGCACTCTGCCTCAGAGATAAACGCGCTTTATTGGATTAGATTTTAGTGCAATGTCGTCTATGTGCCGATTATCCAGCCCAATAAAACGCCTCAACGCACCTTAGTTTTTGACGCTGAAGAGAAGATTATTTATCGGAATCTGTGCGGGCTCATTCAGCGAGTAAGAAGTACTGACATTTTGTTTCTTGCAGGTGATATGGATGCCCAAGCTGTTCGTATGAACTCCTTCGAATCACATTTGAGGGGTCGACTAGGAGTCGGTACTCGCCGCACAACCAACGCTGAGCTACTCCTCAAGTTGTATGCTGATCATGATACCTTACATTGCACGCATTCGCCAGTACACCTTGATGATATCACGGTGATCGTTAACGAAGACGCTGCCGAAGTTGCCGGATTCAAGAGCAGCTTCAGCTATCGGCATCCGAGTTTTTTAGGCGACAAAAAATTTTGTATTGGAATTCCGCATAGCAAAAATTACTTGCCTCGTGGAAGTTCCAGTTGGGAGGAAGAACCAATGCTAGTGAAATTTCATTATCAAGATATCTTTGATCTGCAAGTCGCATCAGGATTACTTTATGCAGGCTTTATTTAACGAGTAGCAGGTGTACACTAACCTTCATGTCACTCGGATCCAGATAATCCAATACTCCAGCCTAAATATCCGGCTGGTTCATCTGGCGTGCCATAGTCTATATGTAACCGAATCCGAAAACTTGTCTATATCGCTTTTGGTAGATCACTGAGGTAGATGCCGTCGTCGTTGGGTCCACCATCTTTTTGACCATAATGGAGTAATATATTTCAAACACATCCAACCATCCTCAAGTGTTAGATAAGAGATTCGCTTTTTAGTCCACAATGTCCGGTCAAAGCCTATTTATCTGCATGGAAACGGTTCCTTTAGTCTTATTCCTAGGGCGCCACCTAGTGGATTCACGTGTCAGCAGGTCAGAGCGCATGGGCTAACACACGGTCATTGTGATACATATGCAGTGGTCATAGGGACTTTTACCAAAAGGGGCATGGTCCCGAAACTGTTGTGTCTACCCAGTAAGTCTCACCCAGGATGAAAACTGCATGGGATATCTCTTCGATGCCAGTAAGCTTGGTGCGTATATTTGAAAGTCCCTTCCGTCGCCTTGGGTCATTGTTTGATATAAACTCACACTCCGTCTTAAAGTTTTATCAGTGCAAACTGATGCCATCACCCTGAGCGTCAGTGAATTATTTGCGACGACATTTCCAAATTCAGTTAGCGATTCCGTCGACAGCATTTCTTCTTATTTCTGAAGAAAAGAGGGTTTTGTGCTGGCTTTTGAACCGCGCTCTCTCTATTCTCCCAGGAAGCGTCGATTCGTAAGAAGGGATTAAATTTTGCGGATTAAACCTACCTGGGTATCGTACTTGTGCTAAATTCACAAAAACGACTTCATGCTAGCCAGCTAGCACAACTGTTTTTGGCAACAGTTTGCCGTATCTGTCCTCTGTAAATTCGACTTTCCTAATAAGGTTTACCAAATCTTTGGACAACTTAAGGGAGACTGACGACAAAAACAACGCTTTCGCAACTTCATCACGCGCGCGCCAATGGTGTTGTTATTTGTTGTTATTGGTATTGTTGAAGACGGTTTTCTCTCTATTGCCCACTGAAAACTGATACTACGATGCGTCTATTAACTATCCTCTTCAGCATTCGGAAAAGCGTAATCCTCAACGTCCCTCTCAGATCTATGGAGAACGGATCAACAAACTACGTCCATAGACCGGAGCTGGTCTATTGTGTGGCCATAATTAAAGAGGCCGAATTACCTTAACCATGCACTTCTGGGGGCAGACAGCCGGGTGTGTTTGAACACAAGGGTTATGGGGAGGGCATTCCGACAGCACCCTATCCGGTTCCCTGCACACTGCGGTTTTAATGGACTAATGTTAGTGTGTTCTATTCTTGCTGTCTATGCTGTAGTCAGTTCAACACTTTTGCATTATTTCATATCAGATCCAACAGAACTTCGGTGTGTCCTATGCAGTGACAGGGTGTTTAACTGAGCTAATAAGGAGAAATTGCTAGTTTTGGCTCTCATTTGGGTGACCTGTTTTAGTAGGTTTATAACTGATACGTTCTACGTAAAAAGAGATAAGTCAGTACGTGGTCGGTTGGTTAGTAAAATTCACGTTTAGTTCAGGATCAAATACCCCGTACAAACAGATTGAAGGTGCAATTTTAAGAAAACTAACCTAATTTGAGAAGCGCACAACACTTCAAAACGAGAGGGAAGAAATATAGTTTTGGAGCTTTCCCAGTGGATGAAACGTCCAGTCCAGTTTTTAGTCTGCATATCCTATCTGAGAGCAATGTTCCACTGGGGAAAGACGTATTCTGGCCAATCGTGTCCATCGTGGGTGTACCCTATTCTGTAATAAAAAGTCCAGTTATGATGAACACGGATAGGCAAGCGAAAAAAAGTATGAATGGATCAGGCTACATTCGTCGTGCGGTCACTGATTTCCAGCCTTGGTTGTACTGGAGCAATTTTGAACACCATTCAGTTTTACGTCCTTTGTCAATGCAAAATCGGTTCACGCCTCACCACACTTCTGCTTCGAACCCAAAGTTTCTCTGATGCATATAGCTCCTTGGTGATATTCATATTCAAACTCGGGGGATATGATATCCACACGGGCGTACCTCTTTTGGACGAAATCTTTTGCTATTTGTGGTATAGGGACAACTTATTCTGGTTAGGTGTCGTAGTCAGTGTGCAGAATTTGACGTGCATATCGTTCGATCGGTTCTGCGCCGTCTGTTTCCCGAGTCAATATAAAGTGCGTCAGAAACAACTTATCATTGGATGCTATATATACGAAGTCGGGATGACTTTGTTCTTGTTCATTCCTAACTTCTTCCTGCGCCGCTACAAATCAAACCGATGCTATTCCCAATATGCTTTTGATGGACCTCTTATTGCATGTTTTTTTCAAGTGCAAGCTTATCTGTGGATGCTCTTCAACTACCTGCTACCCGCGGTTATTATGATTAGTTCTCATGCATACGTCATTCATGTGTTACGCCATCCGACTCCTGGCCAACAACGTGATCGACAAGTCCAGAATAATGTCAGAAGGCTAATTCTGACAACATCGCTGATGGCAGGTCTACTTACGGTGCTCCATTTCTACGAAGCGATCAGATATATCCTAGCGAATTCGAACGTTATTCGCTACGCTGCTGGCGCTGCGATCCAACAAGTCGGTGCCCTACTCATTACGCTAAGTGCCCTCTTAAACCCGTGTGTTTTGTTAGCCACGTGCGAAACGGCACGCATGCAGGTGATTCGGAGTGTTTTACGCTACGATGCCGTCGACACCAAGATGTCTGACACTAGCGAAACTGAGGCGAACACCTGAGTTGCTGTTGAAGTCCAACACTCGTTATTCAGCAACAACAGTTATCACATATTCGGAGCTCACAGTTATCATCGTCATTATCATCAACGTAAACAGCATGCCGTTATTATTTGAAACAAACTTAACGTCACTCGCTGTCTTTTATCTCGCCTATGGGACCCGATTTTGTGGGCTTAATATAGACAGAATCAACTTCAAGTACTTCATTTTTAAACCAGGAATTCGCAGTTTACTGGTAAGGTATTCGTGGCCATTTGTGTAAGGTTGCTTTGCACTGTTTTATTTAGGCCGCTTTCCCGTATATCTTGGCACTTATTTGCACATAAGATGATCATACGCTTACTGATCCTCAAGTACCGAATCTCAGGGAGAATTTTTACTCTTCTTGTTAGGTTATTTCTCTTCCGAGCTTGCTTAAATTCAAAGAAACTGTCGTCACGATTTATGATATATACAGTTATAATGTTCTGAGTTCCTCCAGCGCATATTACTAGACAGATGCCACGTCGAACAGAATTTCGGGGATATACAAGGCGATATTCAAACGATTAATTCACTGTACTTTTAGCTGACGTAACACACACATCGTGACGATGTGCTTTGTTCTATTTCAGACATATTCGGTGTAGATATAGACTCGGTCAGCTGAAGTTACTCTTTTGTTAAGTGATCCCCGCCCAGCGTCAAAAGCATTTGCGTATAAATCAAATGGAATTTCCTCGCAATGAGCTTGTCATTTATATATTGTACAGTGGTTTCGCTGCCTTCCGCTGAGCCGATTACGGGATGATGCGCAAGGAAGAACGGTTGACTGAAAATATGCGCAGGTGTTTTGCTACCCTCTGACCGAATTGGCGTAGTTTGACTGTCATTGCACTAGGTAGGATATTGATAGTGAAAATACTAAATAGTTTCACCTTACACACGCAGTGGATAGATTGTGACTCTGGGCGCAAAACGTCCGGTCACCCTTGAGTTTCCCTGTCACACTGTAAGTTATCCATTATTTAAATGTAAGTTTACAAATAACTCGTGGTTTTCGAAGCCCTCTGGAATATCTACCAAAAGCGATCATGTCTCCAAGCCCATACATCTAGTAGTTACTGGCTATCAGTATGTTTGTCCTACTGAGACATGATTTATGCGCACCTTTTTTGGAGCAAAGGGTATTTCTAAATGTCGATAATTCAAACATCATTCGGACGCTCCAAAATGACGTGGTTGACGGGAGGTAGTAGATATTTGATGACAGCTTTCGTACAGAAACCTGCTCTCCATCGTGCCCGCGATTCAAATCAATGTGCACCTCAAATAGATCACGGCAGCCCCCTACTTGTGAAAGCAGTATTTTCAAGTGAACCGCTTTACTGGTTCCAGGTAACCAGAAGACCAGCTGTGACCGATGACGCCTTACTTAAACTCCTATCGAATTCAGCGGTCAGAATTGCTGAAACTTATGGGGTCGACACATGTAGCTTTCGTGGTACTCAACTCATGCAATCACTTTGGTTTGCGAGATGGACCAAGTGGTCAGAGCACGAATTTACTGACCCGAAGGTGGTTCGTTCAAACCCGACCTCTGCCTCTCGACTTACCCTGTCTAGGCTTGGACAACCTGGCAGTATCCTAGCCCTCGTGTCTCGTGTGGCATGGCAGCTAGGCACCGAAGACGTGCCACAGCTGAATGATTTAGTTATTTATTTTATTTTTTCGTTTGCGAAAACTGAAGCGTACGCTGCGGCGGTAGAGTTAATCCCGGCCATGAAGATACTGATCATTAATCAACCTTGCGTTCGGTTGTTCATTTTGATCAACAGGAGCACACGGAACTGCGCACGAACTTTCCAGTAAGTCATTTAAACAAAAATTTCTACGAGGGCACGTTGCAGACCCGAAGAAACTAGGCAGATGGAAGGTACAAGATTTGTGAGGAACCCTAAGTCAGTCTATTCGAGAACACTGCTGATTATGTATAGGATCACACCTTGTGAGTTCGTTGACGCTCCTTCGACATTCAAAACTTGCCCTGAGACTTACCTGAATGGAATGCTTTACTCGAGCAGTCTTCACACTTAGCGAGTATTCACTGAATTGCTACAGCACATAATGATTGAGCGGGTTGCGCAGACNGCGGGTTCCGCAGACAAAGGACATCAGTCCGCCTTCCTTTCAGATTTTCAGAATTTTGTTTAATTGAGCATCCATACAGGAAATTACTTAACACATCCCCTCAGAATCTTCTACATGTCCGGCTAAATATTTCGGCAGGTGTTTCTCGTGAGACTCTGGCGCTTAGTAATGAGTTGGATGAGAAGCTTGGAGGGAAGGAGATGCACAAGGCAAACAGATGAGAAAATTTATTTATAGTTGCGGGTTCACTGGCATCTAATTAGATATTAGGATTGAAAATCTCAACAGAAGCAACGATACACAATAAAAGCACAAACATTTTTTTTGCAACAGAATTAGTACATGGTTATTCACGAGAAAATAGGTGATACTTTTAGAGCCGAGGTAAGGAGCATCAAATTTCCAGCTCTATAAAACTATGGGAGTATTGCAGTGCAATTCCACGTGGCATGTAAAATTGTGATGCATCCACCAGGTGACGATAACCTTCTCAGCTACGGGGGCATCGATGCTCTCTTCTTTCGCAGAGGGACGGGTTAGAGAATACCGACCTTAAAATCACATACCCTCACTGAACAACTGCTGACAGTTTTCGTAGGCCCATTATCTAATTCAGTTGAAGTAATTTTAAAAATTGTTTCCAGTGCTCTCAGAAGGTAGAATTTTTGCGCTCGGACTACCCTCGGACTATCCTGCATAAGGATGAAATAGCGAACTGTTCTTTGTGAAAAAAAATAAAACATCCCAGGGCAATTCTCGCTCCGAATAATCAGATCCTGCTTGCTGACGAATGAAAGCTTCGGGATGTTACCTCTTACCTCCTACTGCAATTAGCCAGCTAAACAGAGTTGCCTCAAACGCGGTGTTGAATTTGCGGTGCAGGTGACAGGAATCTAAGAATTATGGATGAACCGTACTGCACCAAATCATGAATGTCTTCGATCCGATTCCGAAATGAGGAACAAGGTTTGCAACATTTACCAGTGCGTGCGTGGCATAATGTGGCACCCAAATGTCGAACACATTCAGATATTCAAGGGACGGGTCAGCGACCTCTCTTCCAATGGAACGATTTTAGTGATCTAGTTAACAAGAGCTAGACAACTTCGAAACAGACGCCGGATCCATTCGTATCCTAATCCGACAAACAATTGTAGACAATCGATAATGCGCAGTTTTCGAAATCGCAATTAAATGCATGTAGTTTAGAAGGAACCGAATATCCGTTGCCACAGCCTCAACGGAGAAGTATATGCGGGCAGTCAGCTGCGAATGTGATTGTGCAGTCAAGGGATGTTATCAGTGTACTGGTCGAAAATGTGATGTGCATCTGACTTCAATAAGGATCACTCCGTGGTGAGTGCTAAATCGACTGAAGACGAACCATATCCGCGGAATCAGTTTCTCACGTACATCACACATGGCCATTGCTCGTATTCTACCCAACCGACTAGTCGATGACATTTCGGATGGAAATATTCCTGGGCAACAGTGTGGTTTTAAACGAAGAAATTAGATGAGAAGGATGAGATGATTGAAAGGGGATGTATGAGGCAGACAGAAGGGGGAATCTCGTTATCGATGCTTGCAGAACAATTACTCTATCCTACGGAGGACAAAATCACGCGGGTTCACTGATTGGATATTAGAATAAAAAATCTCAACAGAAGAGACAGTAAGCAATAATATCCTAAATATTATTTTGAAACAGAATCAATAGATGACGATTCAAGAGCAAATAGGTGAGGCTTTTAGAGCCGAGGTACTGAGCGGCAAATTTCCAGCCCTACAAAACTGCGGGAGTGTTTCGGTGTTATTCCTGTGTGGCGTGTAGAATTGCGGACCGATATATATCACAAGGTTTATCTCATATTCTGACCTAGTCTCTGATTCTGATGATGCAGTGCTCAACTGCTCTATCAACAATTTCACCGAAGTTAAGTGTGGTCGATACAATCTTCCATTATCTACACAGCTCACACCATACGCGAAAATGACATCATACACACATGGATTCCGATATTTCAGAGGTCATACGCACTGAAATTGGTGGTATTCAGCTGCTTTATAAACACGCCCGCTACCAACTACACTCTCGGATTTTTGGTACTAAACAGTGTCTTCTCTTCTCTGTGAAAGCCTTTGGTGAAGTAAGCTGTTACTTAAATAAGCATATTTAATTCCACTCCTCAGGTTAATTATGGTACCAGGGTGACAAATACAATTAGTGTGACCCACACGGAGACTTATTATTTGGTAGTATCTAACGAATGCATTTCACAAAGTTCATTTTTAACTGGGAACAAGCAGTTGAAATTTTTTTCTGTTGAACAGTTTATAGTTTACAGAGGGACGAAATCGGTCTATGGTCAAAGGCAACGTTTGTTAAATTCGGTTCGATCGAATAAATCGAATTTACTACTATCGGAACAACCAACTAACCAGCGCGGTGCGCCTTATAATATAGTGTTGAATATGTATTAGACCCCCGTCTTCGCTTAAGAATTTCGGCCAAATAGTGTTCTGAAGTAAGCTAGGCTGCTTGCCATTGTTTGAAATGTTATGATGGCATCAACTGCACGACACAGCCCAAACATTTGGCCATTTTTTGACTTGTGACATTGTTCCACACAGACTAGCCGGGCTTGGTCATCATTCGCGAAGTCGCGTTGACCGGTTGCAGGTTGAACGATGCAATATGCTGTCCAGATGTTGGCAAAAGCACTGCTGATAAATGTTCCTCATATTAGTAGTAAGGGAATTAAAGTCAACTTCAAATCACTAAGCTTGGA